TTCTGCAAGAGAGACATTTCCGTGAAGTCTGCATGAATTGAGCAGTGAGCCCCAAATGCTTCCACTAGGCTTGACGGGCATTTTCTCCACTACTTGCAGTGCCTCTTTAATTTTCCCAGCTCTACCTAATAAATCCACAAGACAAGCATAATGCTCTGAGGACGGACGAATTCCAAAATCTCCACTCATGCTTTCAAACAATTCCTCGCCTAAGTCCGCCAACCCAGCATGGCTACAGCCAGACAACAAGGTGATAAATGTCACCCCATCCGGCCTAACTCCACTACTGACCATATCATCAAACAACTTCATTGCTTCATTCATCAAACCATTGATTGCATACCCATTGATAACAGTATTCCATGATGTTATGTCCTTGTACTTCATTTTCTCAAATACTCTTCTGCAATACTCCATAGCTCCACATTTCGCATACATATCCAAAAGCGAGTTTAATAAAACAAGATCAGGAACTTTAGTTGATTTAACAATTTGAGAGTGTAGCTCTCTCCCATAATAAAGGTAAGTAACCTGAGAACAGACAGCTAAAATTGTAGTAAAAGTTACCCAACTATATCCCACTCCATCTTTTTGCATTCTCCTAAAAGTCTCAAATGCCTCAAAAACCTGTCCTTTCTTAACAAACCCCGCGATCAACGAATTCCAACTTACAACATTTCTCTCAGGCATTTCCTCAAACACCTTCAACACATCTTCAAAACACCCACACTCACTATACATTCCCAAAATAGCATTGTACACAACTTGATCAGGTTCTTTATTACCCTTAACAATCTGTGCATGAACACCTCTACCGATCCTCAAATCTGAAAGTCCCGAACAAGCTTTCACAGCCATAGAAAAAGCAAAATTCCCCGGTTCAATGGACTTAAACAACATTTCACAATAAATCAATAATGCTTCCCTAAAAAACCCTTTTTTAGAATACCCAATTGCCATTGCAACCCAAACTGATTCGGGCTGGTCCTTGTTTTCAACCCCGTGGTGCTCGAAAACACGACGAGCTTCATCTAGCTGATCACAAACAGAGAAAAGGACAATTAACTTAGATAAAATTAAAGGGTCATTGAGAAATTTACTTCTGTTTGGATTTAAAAGAAGGTGAAGATACAGCCTGTGACCATGTTCTAATGATTTCTGTGAAATGCATGCATGGAGGAGATTTAAATAAGATTCTTTATTTTCGGGTTGAGAATTTTTTTGGGATTCTAATAGGAGAAGAGCATCGTTTAGTTTTCCGGATTTAGTGAGGGATTTGAGATTTGTGTTGAAGGGTTTTGGAGGAGTTTTGTTAAGCTTGTTGAAGCTTGAAGTAGCTGTTATGGTGGTTGTGACAGTTGGTAGAGAAATGGCGGGAATCGCCATTGGTGTCTTCTGAAAAGTTCGTTTACCCTATAGTTTGGTTGATAAATGTTTGGGGTCTTTTCTTTAAATAATAATTAACAGAATTTTGATAGGGAAGAAAATATTTCTTAGGTTGGGAAATATTAATTTTTTATTAGTTACTCTCTTCGCTCCATAATAAATAATTTTTTAACTTTTTTTTTGTGGTCTAAAATAAGTGATTTTTCAGATTTTAAAAATAAATTAATTATTTTTTTTCTTACATTGTCGTTGGAGTAAATATCAACAACAAGCTAGGAAAATGAAACCAACAATGTATGTACCGAAAAAACAGATGGAAGAAAGCAATAGCAATAGCCAAGTAGTTGTTATTTCTCTGTATTTGTACAACAATTCTGGATAAAATAAATAACATAAACAGAAATGCAAATGAAATAATAAACACCAATTCGAGCCCACTGAATTGACAGTGTTTCCTTAAGGAATTTAATCCCCTCCTAGTACCCAAGGTTATGAATTATTTCCTCCCAGGATAGAACGGATTACACACTGGTGTAGTGGTACTTCAAACCCCAGTGTTTCAGCGAACACAAAGTTCGGTAGTAAATCACACTTACTGTTGCTTTCTTTGAAGTAATAATATGCAGAAGGAAGGAGGAGAACTCAGAAATTAGTATGTAAAATCTGAGAGAATAGGCTTGTATTTATAGCCAAAGTTGGGCTGGAATTTGAAGAGGCTGTTTTTGCAAAATGCCCATAGAATAAATGACATGACAGCTATTTACTCAACAATAAAGAGGAAAAATTGAAGGTAGTTAATTTTCTATTGCAACAACAGAAAACTGAAAATTGAATACTTGAAATGGATTTAATATTAATATTTTATTATTAAACAAATATTTAATAATATTTCTGTTAATATTTAATGTCCAAAAATTAATCAATCGATCATTTGACCGAAGCCGAGCGAGCGACGACGACAACGACGCGAGGCTTGCCTTCTTCTCAACTCTTTAAGAGTTAGAAGTAAAGCAATTGCTTGTATACCCATCAAAAACCTTTTCCTCTTCCCATATGGGACAATCAAGGAGGGAACCTCAAATATTACTCAAATATTTTATTTTTCCCTCCATTTCTCATTCGCCCTATTTTAAGCTTATTAATGCTTAAAAACCCAACAGCAGTAACAACGACAAGATACTATAGAAAATCGAAGCGTAAGATAGTACTAAAAATCACCCTAATACTAGCACTCTGATAAACAATGACAGGTACTAACAGACTAGCCCTAATAAAGCCGAAACAATACAGGAAAACACACTACGACCTATTACCATACCACCATAATCTTCGACATCCAAACTCTTTTGTCAAGGGCCGAAATATTAAGTTCACGTGAACCCATATATTGCATGATAGATATACCTTAGGGATTAAATGCTTCTAGATTGGTAAATAATGAATTTTGGTATCACTAAATAATATATAAGCCTCGACAATTAAAATTATTTTTGCTGTTAATTTATTAAATCACAGTGCTATCTTTTTAAGCAAAGTAATTAAAGATAATTGTTGCGACTAGGAGGGAAGCACAACGTGATTAATTAACAAATTATTCATAAATAAATAAAAATTATTGTCTAGTACTCAACATTAATGATAACCTATAGTGTGCAATCAAAATAATTTCCAATATAATATTTTTCAGACACTGCTTTTTTTCTTATACAATAACAATAATAACAACAACTCAGTAAAATCTCACCAGTAGGTTATGGGCAGGATAGAGTGTACATAGACCTTACCCTACCTCGGAGGTGGTAGAGAGGTTGTTTCGGGAAGACACTCGGCTCAGAAACAATAGATCTGTGACAACATAACCCGAAAAATAATATCGGCAACACGAGATATAACAAATAAATAGAAAAACAGTACCACAAATATCATGCAGAAGTGTGAAACACAACATAAATTACTAGCAATGCTAGACAAAACACTATCATACTCGCCGGCACGATATATCTTATACAATAGGTACTCCTAATTACTTATATATCTTCATTACTCGTGGAAAAATAATAATTAAGAACGTGTATTGTATAATATAATATATTAAGGGGGGAAAAGAGAACTTTAAGATGCATGTAAATAATTAAATGAATATAATTATCAATTTTGGGGGGGAAATTAAAATAGTTAATTTTCTTGCTCATATAGTCAATGGATCTGGTCATCATTTATTTATAGTAGTAAGTATACTTACTTATTTTGTTAAGATTATTTAGTTCCATTATTAGTTTAATTTTAATTTTTAATTTTTTAATTACCTAATAAGCCATAAGTTCCATTATTAGTTTGGTTATAAAAAATCCCACCTTAACAACTTTTCAAATTTCATAAAAATCCACATTTAAAATAGAAAAAAGAAGATCGAGGTGCTCACTAAATAGATATATTATGTGCAAATTCTGACATCGCCACAAAAAATTTGTTTATTCCGCTTCTTGGTTGTAAAGCGGTAAATCTAAAATTTCAAATATAAGAAATATAAACGACGAAATAAAAAATAAAACTTTACGATTAATATACGAAAGTGCCCCTCCCCTTTTTCCCATGGATTTTCTCCTCTTTTCATCTTTATTTTTTAAATAAGCATATTACATGATTTTCAAAAATTTTTAAAATTCATCTTCAAGTGAAAATTTGAATATTTATGGCTAAATACTAATTTCGGAAAAAGTAAAATTATTTTGAAAAAAATAAAAATTTTCTTATGATAAAGTAAAATGATTTTTTTAAATAGTTTTCTAAAGTAAGCTGGTCATTAATTGTGACACTTACCAAGGGAAGGAAGACAAAAGATAGTAATAAAAGTGAACTCTTTCTATATTTTATTTGAAATATCATGAAGATCAAATTACTTAAGTTTTTGAAGTAAACTTAGATATAAATTATTTATACTTCTGAAATAAATTTTATATGTTTTGAATATTATATCATAAGTAGTAATACTGAACAATTAAAAATATTTTACAAAATATAATTTCACATAGAGTAAAATAACGCGAGTTTAATTTTTGAATTCTGATTCCCCGACCAAAAAATTATTAACAACAAGTACACTATTTCCTCCGGTCTAAAATAAGTGATTTTTTGATTGTTTTCACACATATTAAGAAATTCACCGTTTAACATTAATTAACAATGAAATTGACTATATTAACTTTTACTATCTTTTCACATACACACTCCTAACATATACTCCAACGTCATTTACTCAAAGGGCAATGTAGGAAAAAAATAATTAATTCATTCTTGAAATATGAAAAAATCACTTATTTCGGACAAAAAAAAAATAAAAAAATCACTTATTTTGGAGCGGAGGGAGTAACTTATAATATTGAATATTTTAAGTGGCACAATTATTTGTTTAATTAATCACCCCATTAATTAGGAGAAAAAATAATCACCCATCATTAGTTTTATTATTATTAAAAACCCCCACCTTAACAACTTTCCAAAAAAAATTTTTGTAATAATTTCACATACACATTTCCAAAAATACCCTTTCCTCTACTACCCCTAGATTTTCTCCCCTTTCTTTCTCCCTACTGTCTTAACATCCATCATATTCGGATCTACCTGTGACCCGAATCCATTTTAGTCAATATCTTTCTTCTTCATCTGAAGCTTCTCTCAGCTTCCACTGTTTGTTCATGGCGTCATTTTCAATCGTTGAAATTCAAATATAATAAAAAACATAGTTAGTAAGCAACCCCTTTTAGATTCTTAAGCTTAAAGTAACATTCTTTGTTTTTTCTCTTTGATTAAACCCTTTTAACTTCTCACCAAACAATTTCCCCAACTAACGCTTTTTCTCTTCAAAAATCTTAAAGACCACTCTTTTCTTCATAAAAATTCAGGATTCTTCAAGATCTTGACACCCTTTTGAATTTTATAGTGAAAAAAATGAAACAGTTAGCGGCGTTACAACAAGGTCGCCGGAGCAACAGCTTTAGAGGGCCGTTAGATTCGCCGTCAGATGGGTCTGTTAAGTCTCCGGCGACTATTTTCTGGCTTGTGCTTCATGGGGTTTGCTGTTTGATCAGTTTAGTTCTGGGTTTCAGGTTTTCACGCTTAGTGTTCTTCCTTTTGTTCACTAATAATAGCTCATCGTCAGCTCCAAACAGTGTTTTGTTTCATGATCCGGCTAGGATGACATCATTTTCCGGTAATGGCACGGCGGGGACAGCGGCGGAGGTTGCGGTGGTGAGGGGGAGTAGTAGTAGTAGGGTGGTGGTGGGGAGGCACGGGATATTAATACGGCCGTGGCCCCACCCGAATGCTACTGAGGTGATGCAGGCACATAAGATAATGGAGATAGTTCAAAGGGAACAGAAGTTGCAGTATGGTGTTAAGAGTCCGAGGGATGTGATTGTTGTGACACCAACATATGTGAGGACTTTTCAGACTTTGCATCTTACTGGTGTGATGCATTCTTTAATGAATGTGCCTTATAATGTTGTGTGGATTGTGGTGGAAGCTGGAGGAGCAACTAATGAGACCGCCTCGTTGATAGCTAAATCAGGTTTGAAGAATACTATTCACATTGGATTACGCGAGAAGATGCCACTTTCGTGGGAAGATCGCCATAAATTGGAGGCGAAAATGAGACTTCGCGCTTTGAGGTAATGGGAGTTTGTTTCTACTTAATAGCTGTTTATGTTTAACACCTGCATCCGCGGATGTAGCCTTAGTGCTGTGGTTCAATCGAACGCAGTATTATTACACGAAGCATAGATGTATATGTGAAGAAAGGACAGAATTTCAACAAAATTTTGATTCAAAACTCATATTTTTAGAAGTATAGTGAGGTAAGTGCTAAGAATTTTAAAAGTTGAATCCATCAAGTTAAAATCTTTGATCAGCCTCTGAACACCTATATTGTGTTTTATGTATGTGGTAAAGAATAAACTTAGAACACTTCTTGCTTCATCAAACGAATAACTTTAGAATTGTAACATGATAGTGTGGTTTGTGTTTGTTTGATGGAACAGATATGTGAGAGAAGAGAAGTTGGACGGGATAGTGATATTTGCTGATGACAGTAATATGCATAGCTTAGAGATTTTTGATGAGATCCAAAAAGTGAAATGGATTGGCGCTCTGTCAGTGGGCATTCTTGCTCATTCGGGTGGTTCTGAGGAGGAGTTGTCGACAGTTCAGAAAGAGGAAGAGAGGAATTTGCAATTGCCTGTTCAAGGTCCCGCTTGTAATTCATCAGACCATCTTGTTGGTTGGCACACTTTTGATTCGTCCCCCTACTTGGAGAAGAGTGCCAGATTCATTGGTGATAGGGCAGTTGTGCTGCCAAGGAAGCTTGAATGGGCTGGCTTTGTGTTGAATTCCAGATTGGTCTGGAAAGATGCGGAAGATAAGCCTGAATGGGTTAAGGATTTGGATGCTGTAATGGGGGAAAGGGAGGATGTTGAGAACCCTTTATCTTTACTGAAGGATCCTTCAATGGTGGAGCCTCTCGGAAGTTGTGGGCGCAAAATTATGCTGTGGTGGCTCCGCGTTGAAGCACGGGCAGACAGCAAATTCCCTGCCAGGTTAGTTGTCTAGCGCTATCTTGAATGAATGTAGCATCGTTTTTTGAATATTCTTACCATTGAATATTATGTTTGTTGTTTCTATCTAACATTTCTTTATCATTCTTTTGTAACTTTTGATCACCTAGCCATAATTGTGGTTGTTTCAAGATTGTCATATGTTCTTAAAACATGACAAATCCTCGTAGGTTGCCTTATCTGTTTTCATTTTCTTTTTGAATGTTCTTAGGGTGCCATATTTGTTGCATATAATTAAGACCAAAGCCATGAAACAACAGGAGAAATAAGATTGATATCAGAAAAACTCAATAAAGTTAGGAGCTAATAGTAATAGGATGAATTTTGATATGTAAAGAGTAGTACTATGATTTTTTTTTGTATATTCCTTCCCTTCCCTTCGTCCTTATCTTTGATTAGTAAGGATAAGAGTCTTTCTATTAATGATCGCCAAATCCTTCCTGTTGTAATAAGGTGATTTGCACACAGGAAAAGTTGTCAAGTGGGTTCAAACATATCAAGAGGTCATGTGATCCCCTTACTGATCAGTTGGTTTCATGGCTTGGGTTGCTCTTGGTAAAATCTGGTCAAACATCGTTGTTTTGGTTGCCACTAGGTTTGTCTTTGTATGTTGTCTTCATGCTGCCGTGGGGCTTCAGCATAAAGCACTTCCTTCAATGAATATCCCAAGAGTGGGTTATTTTATTGTTTGATGTTCATGATTTAATCTAAGTTGCTTGGACTTGGGTGTGGGTGTGGGTGTCTGATACATGTCAGATCTAGAGGTTGGATCCTTCAGAATCTAAATTTTAAGATTCGGAGTGACAAATCCGGGTAAAGAGATTCGGCTAAAAATTCAAATATCTAAACTAGAGTTATAAAAATATGTCTAAATTATGAGATATCATGTGAAGGACTTACAAGGTATACCGAGAAGGAGAAAATATTGATCTAGAGGAAATCCGAGAAGGAGAAAATATTGATCTAGAGGAAATCCGAGAAGGAGATAAAAAGGAAAAGGACTGACGTAGAAATCTTTTTATACAAGGTATCCCATTTTCTTCAATTTCACCCTAGCTATTGTTTTGATTTCAGAAATCATTCTATATGTCCTTAATTTCTCCGTCGATTTTGGTTTAAGTACCCAAAATGGTTTGACCAAATCCAATGTGGATCTCACACCCACACCCACACCTCTATCGTGTCGTTACGGGTGCGGCACCAAAGGTGAGGAGTCCGAGCAACTTAGGATTTAATTGATACTTATTCCGGGAAATGATTGAATTTTAGCAATGACTCAGGAGAGTCGGTGTTTTCTTGGTTACCGCAAATGGCTTCTCTTTCCTAAGCTCAATTGCTCCAATTGCAAGACTTACATTAATGAAAACATTCCGACGATTCTTTCCTGAAATTGTTGATCTTTTATTAGAGAAATCTAGTAGCTACTTTTTTGCCTTTTCTTTGGCAATAGCAATACACTGAATAGCTTATTACATGTTAGCAGATTGATTCAGTTTTGATCTCACTGTGCTAGAGATCAATTTTGAAGGTGGGATAGAAAAAGGTGACCCAAGTTTGATAGAATTGGGTCCTTGAATTAGTTCTTGTCGTAACAATTTCTGCCTTCCACTCAATAATGTTTGTGACAGTTAAATGGTAGTTGTGTTGGTCTTAGTTCAACTACAATGACTGTTGGGTTGACTAGGTAACAACGGTGCGGAGGTAGGGTTATTTAGGCTTAAATATAGTTTACGTTTATTTGTGCGATGGAGTCTAGCTACTTTGATATCTTCTATTCTATTTATGCTTTTCAGCATTAGATTGATTATATCCCTCATATTTCCATCTGTATCGTGTTATTCATGAAGTTTGAGTTTAACTTTTAAGTTCATGGGTGGTTAATTTTGGATCAGAAAGTTTAATTTGAATAAAGATGAAAAAGGTGTGAGTTGCATTTTAAATAGCTCTGATTATTTCTTTTATATTTAATTTATCATCTGCTTGGTCTCTTCCTGATCTATTTTCGCTTGAGTAAGAAGGTGAATCACATCTGGGAGGAAATCTTTGTAGATGTTGAGCTATATTTTCGTTTTGAACTCATTAAAAAAAAGAAGCCAGTGTTGAACTCGTTGCATATTCCAGAAGTGTGGCTATTTGTTAGCTCTATCAAGCATTCGGTGCCCAACTTTGCCAATTATATACCCTAATAATCTTCTCTGATTCTGAAGTATCAAATATAATATAATGTATACTCATAGTGCATTTCATGTTACATGTGCTTCGTAAACCATACTAGTATTGATGAAAGCAGGATATCTGTGTTAGATGCTGTCTAGACAAAGATAGTTTTGAAGCTTTCAGTAATGTCATTAACAAACATGCTCGTTAGTATCAAAGATGACATAATCCTACTAAAACATTACATTTCATTTTAAAATTTGCTTCATACTAGCGTATAGACGAAAGCAGGAAACCTGTGTTAGATGCTATCAATGGGTAGCTTCAAAGCTTTCAGTAATGTCATTAACAAACCTGTTTTGTTAACTTGAAACCTAGAACGAAGAGCTTCGAGTTAAAAGTTTAACTTTGATTAGTCGAACATTGGATGATGAATGTGTGGAATAAGATATACTCCTGAAGACGAGTTGTTACTACTTGTTCGATTTCTTTTCTTGATCAGCTTTGCAATATGTGCTTTCTTCGCGTTAGGGAGTATGAGAGAAGACGAGAAGAATATTCTGAAATGAGACATTTACAAGGAAAACTATAATAACATAAGGGAGCAGTTAGCACTAGGTAGACTACATATACAGCAAACAGGAAATTGAGGAAAAGAGAGAAAATTTTGAGGTGTAAGGTATGTTTGATTTGTTAAGTAGGACTTTGATGAGGGAGCGAGCGCACAAGCTATATGTTGCTAAATGATGAAGAAGACTTCAAAAGTTATAAGCCTTGGTATGGTTGATCTTGGAAACTTTTTTTTGATGAAGTAAGAGAATTGCATTAAAGGCATCAAGAAGATGCAAGAAGTACAAAAGAGAGATACATAAAGACATAGTCAGCTCTACAGACAAAAACTAGGCTAAAGCGAAGGAGCTGACGAAGTCCAAAAGATTAATAGGGCAATTGACAGGAGCTATGTTCTGCCAACTGTATAACCATAAAAGACATCTAGCCTTGAGTGCGTATGTAGGAGTTGATATCCCATCAAAACATCTACTATTCCTTTCTGTCCGAACACACCACAAAATACAAGAACGGATCATCTGCCAGACTTTACTGATGGATTCATCAACTTTCCATGAAGACCAGCTTTCATACGTGTCCTTAATGTTCTGCAGTATTGTCAAAGGCGCACTTAAGCCTTGAAGCGAGGCTCAAAACATGTTGAGCGCTTTGCCTCATTTTGTGGGTGCTTTAGTATCGGATCAAGGCTCAAAGGCATACTATTCCTTGCCGATGAGTGTAGCGACATTAAACAATTGATATTTCACTTTATCGTAATTTTTTTTTAATTTCTTTGTCCATATATTTGTTATTCGTGCTTATAATTATTAGTCTTGGACTACATATTTTTACTTTTTCTCTAGTTGCGCCTTTTTTCATTAAAGCCCACACTTTATTTGCGCTTAAAGCCCCAACGGAGCTTAGAGCTTTTTTGCTCTTTTCGCATTTGATAACACTGATGTTCTGAGGCATGACCCAGCTTAAACCAATGGTTGTTCTTGGAAACTAGCTCAAATATAAGTTCTGCACTTGCCCATTCTCATGAAATTACATAAATGGGGGCATAATTTTGTTGTCTGTGCATATTTTCCCCTAAATATTGTAGTTGATCAACCCAATTACTACGCATGTGCTTTGATTATATTGCATAAGCTAGACATATTGGTTGCTTTCACTCGAATGCAGTATGACTAATTCCTAACCAAAATGCAGATGGATCATCGATCCTCCACTAGATGTGACTGTCCCAGCAAAACGAACGCCATGGCCAGATGCTCCTCCAGAGCTCCCCTCCGGTGAAAAGTTGGTCACCATGCAAGAGCACACTGAGAAGCGCCCACCAAAAACACGATCAAGAAAACATAGTTCTCGGAGCAAGAGAAAGCATGTAGCAAAGAACATGGACGACCGTCATTTGGCCAGGCAAGATGCGGAGAACTAGCGAACCATCTGCGAATTCAGCAAGTTCGAAGACCTATCCTTGTCTCGTAAATAGGAGAAGGCATTTCTTACAGAGAAGGCATTTCTTACAATAGCAATTAATACATACTACCTGTCCTTTTATTCAATTATATCTTGTATTCTTTTCCACTTCTTTTTACCCAATCTTCATCAATTTCTTTTCTGTCCTATTTTTGGTCTTTAGTCTTTTGTGTAATTGAATTGATGCTCAGTTAGAAGGGTGTTTTTGTTGTTGTTGTCACTGTTACCAGACTCCTTTTTTTTTTTTGGCCAAAGGTTGTATTTGTGGCTTGGAGTTTATATATGTAAAATGACAACATCTAGAGATGAGAAATTTATGCCCAAATCTTGGTTTTTCTTTTTCATTTCGTGGACATTGTTTATTTCTGTGCTCATGTCAACCAAATCCTTTAAAACCCCTAAAGGATCGTAACTTCGTGCCATGGCCATTGGTTTTATTGGTATTAAAGGTAGGGCAACGATTATTTGTAGTTAGCGACCGAAACTATTTATATCTATTAGTCGTAAAATTTGTATATTTTTTTAAGCATGTATAAGTGTATATATATACAAATATATATATTTGTTCGGCTGTTATTTTGAGAGCGAATATATAATGTCATTTTTCTTTAAAGGTACTTTGGTTAGCTAACAATGGGGCTTCACCATGACCGTTTCTTTTTTTATTTGGTGTTTTAGGGCCATAAAATAGGATTCAGGACGATTCCCAGATTTTCGTATGCTATAGTCCACGTCATCTGCATGAATTCGGGCGACTGACCCTGAATCTCCAAAAATTTTGCGGACCGATAAAAACGACGTAATGAATAATAGTCATCGCTTCGCCATGACCGTTCCCCATTTTTGGCATTTTAGGGCCATAAGAGAAAAATATAGGATGATTCTCAGATTTTTATGTATTATAGTCCACGTAATCTGCATGAATTAGGGCAACCGGTCCCAAATCTCCTAAAATATTGCGGGTCTATAAAAAGACCTAATGAACAATATTCATCGATTCGCCATGCCTTTCCTCGTTGTTGGCGTTTTAGGGCCACAAAATAGGATTCATGACGATTACGAGATTTTTATGTGCTAAAGCCACGACATCTACATAAATTCGGGCGACCGGCGCCGAATCTCCTAAAACTTTGCGGACCCATAGAAAATGACCAAATGAACAATAGTTATAGCTTCGCCATGACTGTTCCTTGTTTTTTGGCGTTTTAGGGTCATATAGTAGGAATTCAGGACGATTCCCAAATTTTCGTGTGCTATAGTCTACGACATCTGCATGAATTCGGGCGATCAACTACGAATCTCCTAAATTATGCAGGATCATAAAAAATAATCTAATGAACAATACCCATCGCTTTTCCATGAACGTTCCACATTTTTTGGCGTTTTAGGGCCATAAATTAGGAATTCAGAATGACACCTAGATATTCGTGTGCTATAGTCCACGTCATCTGTATGAATTCGGGTGACCGGCCTCGAATCTCCTAAAATTTTGTGGCCATAAAAAACAACCTAACAAACAATAGTCATTACTTCGCGTGACCGTTCCTCGTTTTTTGCATTTTAGGGGCATAAAACAGGAATTCAGGATGATTCCCAAATTTTCGTGTACTATAGTCCATGCCATTTGCATGAACGCGACCTACTACGAATCTCCGAGTATTTTGCGGTTCCATAGAAAATGACCTAATGAACAATAGTATCAGTTTGCAATGGCCATTCTTTTTTTTTTTTTTTT